TGGTTGTTATTTTGTGGTTGTTTTTTTGTGGTTGTTATTTCATGTTTCATGTCATTTGTAAGATGCAAATGCTGCCAAGCCACAAACTCAAGACAGTTCCCACATTTTTCCACGGGAAGGAAAGGGGCAGCTGGGGACAATCCGAGCAGGAGCAGGGCATTGCAACTCCTCACTTCCCACTCTGACCTGATTTCAATCTCCTCTTCCTTCCATCAGTTCTCTGCTCTTGGCTGAGCACCCAGTCGTGAGTTTATTACCCTGTGGAATCAATGAATCCAAACAGAAAGCCTTATGAGCTTTAAATGGTCCAGAATTAGTGTGTGCAGCAGGCAGGGCCCAATCAATCAATCAATCAATCAATCAATCTCAATTAATCTGTTTTGTAGAGTGGCCCCAGATCAATCCCTGGATAAGCTGAGCCCCAGGATTGCTTGAGCTCTGATGGACCTAAAAGTTCTGGAAATGAAATGATTTAAATGAAAATTCAAGCATTAAATCAATGCTAAGCAGAACAAGAGGTGACATGTTCTCCTGTTTATTTGAAAATTAAACCTGGCCAGCTGTTGAGCAGGGCTATTTTTCATGGATTTATGGTTTTCTGTGCTGGCAGTCTGTCTTGTCCATGTCCTTTTATTGGCTTTTGATGCACTAATTTGGAACTGCATTATAATCACAGTGGTTAGGGATAGATGGCCTTGGGGTTTTTTCTCAAGCTGGCAGAGAAAGAAGAGATGATTTGAGTTGTGTGATTCAGCCCAGGAAAAATAACCCCAGTTAGTGCCTCTTTTGGGAATACCAGCAGGGCAGGAAGGGGGCTCTGTGGGCATGAGCCCCCAGGATACACACAGCACTTCATTCCCTGGGGGTGCAGATGTGCCTTGAGAACTGCTGCTGCATCTTTGGGGGACACAAAAGGATTTAAGGATTTCATTTCCTGGGGTTGATCCAAATCCTTAAACATATTCTAAAAATGAGAGGGGAAAAAAATGTAGTTTGGTGATGAAGTTGTGTTGCAGCTTTGGTGATTTTCCAGATGCAAGCTTGCAGTTTTCAATAAATAATTAGAACAAGTGCAGAAATGTTGGGTTCCAGGACTCTCCTTTCCAGCTGCAGGACTGTCACCAAATCCATCTGCTTCCCTGGCAGGTGGCACATTTGTACTCATGTTTCTCATTAAATAATTCAGCTGAAAATATTCTTTATTGGGCTGAGAAACCAGGAGTGCTCCACCAGAGTGGGGACTTGTGGGTGCTCTGCCCAGAATTCCCAGTTCCTGACAGCATCTGGGACTTTCTGCTCTCCCCTAACAATAATTCCTGATCTTTCAGCTGGAGTTGCACAACAGGAAAGGGTCAGAACAGCTGGAAAACTGATCTGGAGAGTCGTGGGCAGGCAGCACGTGGGAGAACATGTTCAGACATCCTGTGGCTCCCTCAGGTCGGGGTGGTCACTGGGGTTTCTGTGGCAGAGGGTATTTATGGGATATTGCCCAGTGCAGACTCTCAGTCTCCTCTTGGATGTTTCCCTCTGGGCCCCTCCTGTCACCCTGTGCCCTGGTTCCCAGTCCTCTACTGGATCTCATGAAAACACACAGGAAAATGAGTGAAAAAGGCCCTGGGTAATCCTCTAAATATATTTCCCCCTTTCTTTTCCCTCCTAAATCAATGTGCCTTTCTCCAGAGCTGGAGTGTCTCTTTGAAAGAGTGCAGCAGACAGTGCTGCAGCTCCCCAGCTGCACAGATGTTTCCTGAGAGCATTCTGGAGCCAGGATCCACTTCCATCTCTCCTGTCTGCTTTTTGGAGAGAGCACAGAGTGGTGCAGCTGAAGGCAGCAGCTCACGAGTGGGGAGCTGTTTGAGGGAGCACCCCTGCTCCGGGTGTTTGTAGCTGCTCTGTGCCTCACCTGGATCCAGGTAACCCCGGGGTCATTTCCTGGCACAGTCTGGAGGAGCTGAAGTGATTTGGGGTGAATCCTTTGCTGAGTCACAACACTTCACTTGAAACCACGGGGAAGCTTTTAGGATCAATAAAAATCCTAAAATTCCAGACTCTCCCTTCAAGGCAGCGTCTGGTGTTTACAGCTGCACTTTCAAGGGTTCTGAAAGCACCTCTCATTTTATGACATTTCATCTCCTAGCACTAACAGATAATCTTGTACAATCCAAACAGATTTGCAAGCAAGGCCAATTATCCAGGCAGGAGCAGCGGGGTGAGGGGAGCCGTGGGCTGAGAGCAGAAAGAGCTGTGCTGTTTATCACAATGCCCAATAAATCATTTACAGCCAGAACCAATTACCTGTTTATTTCCAGTGCCTGCTCTTCAATTAGCAGGGGGAATATGCACCTTTAAAGGAGATCATTTCTGGGAGTGCATTAGATTGCACTTGCAGCCTGGAGCTGAGCTGTTCTGCTGGCATTTTATTGGGAGTCACAGTGGGAGCTCAGCCAGCCCGGGGCTCTCAGGGTGGCACCACCTGTGCCCTGCAGGTGCCAGGGAGAGCTCTGCATCCCAGCTCCCAGGGATGCTGGGCTGGGATGAGGCTCCTGGGGAGCTGCTCTGCAGCTGGGAGCTGCTGGGGCACCAGGAACTCAGCCCAGCACCAGTCAGCTCCTTTCACTGGGGGCTCTGGGCTCTCCCTTTCACTGCTTTGACCTGGCACTGCTCAAACCTGGAATTCCTGTGATGATGGTGGAGAGCACAGCCCCCCAGTGGGAGGGGGTTTAAATATTTTAAAATATTGTGAATATATTTTTATATTTTCATTTTCTATATTTTTTTAGATTTATATGCATTTATATAAATACAAATTCTATATTTATAAAAATATATTATTATATAATATAATAGTACATATTATATAATTATATATACTATAATATATTATTATCTAGATATTATATATTTTATATATATATATACAATATAATTATATAATATATACTATGGTGCAGCTTTCTCTTTAAATAAATATAGATATTTGTCTATAAATAATAGATTATATTTTATATGTTATATTATTTTTATTATTTTAAAATAATTTAAATATATTTTTATGTTTATGTATGAAATTCACAGGGAAGGTCAAACATTGTCCCATTCCCAAAACCTGGGGCACAGACTGGCAGCACTGGGAGTGTTGGGGCTGAGCTGGGAATGGCCTGGAGGCAGAGCAGGATTTCTCCTGCAGAATTCCAGATTGCTCCTGCACAGCTCACCCACCTCCCCAGGGGGAGCCAGGGAAAAGATGGATCAACTCCTGAGCCCAAGGTCAAACCCACAGGAGCTGGGGAGCTCTGGGGAGGGTCCCTGGCTGAGATTTGCAAACCAAATGAGCCCTGCTTTGCATTTATTTGAATAAGAGCATTCTCCATCCCTGGAGGTGTCCAAGGCCAGGCTGGATGGGGCTTGGAGCACCCTGGGATTGTGAAACGTGTCCCAGGGTGTAAAAAAAACCATAAAACATTCTGGGAACCTGGAAAACCAGTGAGGTGGGGACTCTGGAAGTCTCTCCTGAGGGAGCCAGGATTTGCCTTAGATCTGGGAGCTCTGGGAGCACTGGGAGCACTGGGAGCTCTGGGAGCACTGGGAGCACTGGGAGCTCTGGGAGCACAGGGAGCACTGGGAGCTCTGGGAGCACTGGGAGCACTGGGAGCTCTGGGAGCACTGGGAGCTCTGGGAGCTCTGGGAACACTGGGAGCACTGGGAACACTGGGAGCACTGGGAGCACTGGGAGCTCTGGGAGCACTGGGAGGTCTGGGAACACTGGGAGCACTGGGAACACTGGGAGCACTGGGAGCACTGGGGGCACAGGGAGCACTGGGAGCACTGGGAACACTGGGAGCACTGGGAGCACTGGGAGCACTGGGAGCACTGATCCATAACAACCCCAAGGCTTAATCAGTGTCTGTCAAGTAGTTTAATGTCAATTACTTCGCATTATCAACAGAAAGAGTGAAAAAAAGGAGCAGAGCTTGGTGTGTTTCTATTTCTGGTATTTGCTGTGCTGATTAATGATTAATGATTGATGATTAATCCCACAGACATTTTGGTGACAGGGCTGGGAAAATCTTCCTGACACAGGAGACTTCACCAATTATCCTCCAGACTAAGTGCTGGGACTCTGTAATTTATGACACCTTTATCTCCCTTGGGATAAACCAGCAGTAAATAAAATGCAGGGAAAAGTCTTGCAAGGCCAAGAGACTTCATTTGTAAAGGAGAGAAACTCTTGGCTTTAAAGTTCTCCCCAACTCTAATTTCTGTGCAGTGAGGAGACTGACAGAAAAGTGCATTTTTATCATTTAAGTGATTAAATATTTCTGTTGTTCAAAGTAATTCCTGTGTCCTAAATATATTTAGCTGTACAGCAGCAAAACATCTCAAAGCAGAAAATATGGAAGTACTCTTGACTCCTGAATGGAAAATTCTCAGAGTTTATCCTGTAAAGCAAAGCAGGAGGGTTGGATCCCACCCCTGGAGGTGCCCAAGGAGCTCCTGGAGGTGGCACTCGGTGCTCTGGGCTGGGGACAAGGTGGGCATCGGGCACAGCTGGGGCTCAGTGCTCCTGGAGGGCTTTTCCAACCTGATAATTCCATTGTTCTGTGGTTCCCTGAGCTCTGCAGCTTTCCTGCAACTGGAATTTAACCTGCACGGGGTTCTGCCAAAGGAGCCTCGGGCTCAGGTCAGCAGCAGAGCTCAGCTCACACACAGGATTTTGAGGCCCTTTCCCTTCAGCAAACCTTGCCCAACCAAAAGGTCTGAGTAACTCATAACTGATTAATCATCACTTCCAGGAGAATTTATTTATTAGGCTTTAATCCATTAACACAAGCTTTAGATGGAAAAAAAAGAAAACCATTAGGAAGAAAGACACTGTAAATCTTATTCTTCTGGGAACTGTTAGTGGCTGATTTGAGTGAGAATTGCTGAGGCCATGAGCAATCCAGATGTTTATTGTTTGGCTAAGGCTGATCTTTCCTTCTCCTGCAGCTCATTAACAAGGAGTGAGCGAGTTCCTGGGGTTGGAGAGGTGGGATGAGAAGGAACAACTGGATGGACAAACCTCTGATGTGCTGTTTGCCTGTAAGCAAAGCTGCCTGTGTTCTAGATCTGTCTGCTTTTCCATTGAAACAGATTTAAACTGGCCTCAAAACCCAAAATCATCTGAAAATGGATTTTTAACCCACGCTGAGACATGCAAGGATAGATTTCCTGACTTTACAGAAGTTTTTAGGTTTTACTTAAATCAGCATTTTCAATGGGAAGAGCCACATTTAAATTGTTAAAATTTAAATTGTTAAAATCACTGGGAGGAGAAACAGAAACTCAACTGAGCACTGGAAGAAACCTTGGCTAAATCCACTTCCAGAAATGTTTATCTCAGGACTGTCAGTCACAGGAGGCTCAGGGCAGTGTCTGAATCCTGAGCGTGTGCTGTGGGAAGGGCACATCCTAAAGGCAAAATTTAGGAGTTAAAATCAATTCTTGTCCTTTAAAATCCTTCTTGTCATTTTTTCTTAATAGCCCTAGGAGGGAATATAAATTCCAGATTAAGGAATGGTTTAAATAATTTCTCCGTTGTCTGCTGAGCTGCTGAGGAGAAATGCTTTCCCTTTGAAATCGTTTCTTATTTTCCCTCTGCCTCTCCTTTCTGCAGCAGGTTCTGCTGCAAACCCATCAATCTGAATCACTGGTTAACAATCTCATCCTGACAATAAACTGAGGGAATATATTAGCTGCAAGCTAATATATTCTAATTTCAATCTAACATATCCTACACTCAATTGTGATCAGGGGAAAAAGCCCTCAATCCATCAAAGGGAAATAAGGAAATGACTCCTGGCTGCAGTAAGTGGACACTTATGTCTGTATTGTCTCTAGGATTCCTTGGCTCTGGCTTGTCTCATTAACCTGTGTCTAATTTTCGTCTGTTGAGGCATTTTTACAGAGTTAGAACTCAAGAAATAAGTACATGTTAAGAACATTTGGAAATGGAAGGGATAGGGGAAAAAGGAGTGAAATATCCTGTTATCCATCGTGGCCAAAGTGGGTTCAAAAAGCCATTTTTGTACCCAACTGCTTGTTCCACATCACAGATCAGGGAATGGTTTGGGTTGGAAGGAACCTAAAATCCCATAATTACAGGAAATCCTGAGTGTGCAGGGAAGGGACTGCTCCAGATGTGTCTGCAGCTCTTCCCAATGCCATGGGAACCTCCAGGAAACCTCAGGGCACCAGAGGAGGCCAAACAAAGGAAGATTTCAGCAGCACCACAGGGCTTGGGACCACCAGGCCAAATGCACTGGATGTGCCTCATTTTATCAGGAGGGTTTTTTGCAGTACCCAAACCCCAGGAAGGTGCTTGCAGCACCTGATTTTGGTTGTTGCCTGATGTTACTTCTTGTCAGTAACAGCCAGAAATGCAACCAGAACCATCCCCAGGCAAAGAGTCCTGGAGGATTTGCTCCAGACCTTCTCCCTGGAATCCTTTTCCACACAAATCCATGGGCTGGTGCCAAAATTTCTTTTGGCTTTGCCTTTGCACACCCAGGGCTTGAAGCTCCTCCTGTTCCTTGTCCCAAACTTCTCCACTCCAGAGCTCACCAATCCAAAAAAGGGCTGGGTGGCTCCTTCCAGAAATGGACACTTTTGTTCAGCCCTGTTATTATTTGACTGTAAAATATTTACCATTATTAATAATTGCCATTATTCAGAGCCTTTTTGAAAGCTCAGAGTTTTACTGAAAATGCTCAGGAGCTCAGGGACTGATCCCAGCTGTTCCAACAGGATCTGCACAGCTTGCAAGCTGTTAATGGATCTTGGGATTTTTACAAGGAATCTGAGCTTTGGAAATCAAGGCTTTGCAGTTTCCCACTCCAAGAAGTGAAATTAATCTGAGTTTCAAACAAAATCTTGTATTTCTCTATCAACCCATTGTCAGTTTTCATTTCAAGTGTTATGGAAACATATTCTGTCACCTAAGTAAAAAATATTCTGAATTTATAAAGCATTTTCCATCTAAGAATAGGAAAACATTTCAAGCCCTCAGTCTGCTCAGTGACTCAGTCCATCAGTAACTCACATCTAATTTTATTGGCAGGGAGCTCTGAGGGAGATTTATCCTTCCAAGAGCTGTTCTGGTCCTTGGGTGGGATTTCCCAGTGAGCAGAGCTGCTCTGATGTGCAGTCCAGCTTCCTCCTTGCACATTTATTTGTTCTTTTGGACGAGCTCTGGTGGATTTGGAAAAACAAAACCTGCCTGAGTGTCCCTCTGAAGGGGCAGTTTGGAAACACAAGTCCAGATGGCTCAGGCAGATTTCACGGAGCAGTTCTGGGGAAAAAAAGGAACAAAAAGCACCTCCTGCCTGTTTTATGCAGCTTAGCAAAGGCTCAGCTTGGAAGGAACAGAGTTCACTTGGAGCCAGTTAGCTCTGAATGCCAACAGGGCTAAAATTCCCTCATTAATACACAAAGATTCTTAATTGTGACCTGAGTGCTGTTCTGAGCTGCAGATAGCTGATTTTTTTCTCCCTGAGGAATGGTTCCAGGTGTTCTTTGGCCTCCACTGAGGTTCCTTGGGCATCCCATCTCCCAGGAAAGCAGAAGTTGCTTCCTGGCAGGGGAATGTGCAGTGGTTGGTGCAGTGTGCCTGAAGGGAATATTTAATTCCACGTTTAGTGACAGCTTTGCAGCCCTGCACCAAGGGTTTTGCAGGATGGATAACTCAGAATGGGCCCTGCTCAAAGAATTTGACTCAAAACTCCAAAATTCAGCTCAGCAACCACGGAGAAATTGGGATTATATCCAATAAACAGCAAACAAGAGCAGCAGGGCAGCAGCAGGGGGTCAGAATCTTAACTGGTGGTGGCTTTTCTTCATTCCTTCGAGCTTGTTAATTAGCAAATGAAAGTGCAATGAGTTAGCAAATCCAATAACCTGGGATTTCTCTGAGTCTTTGTGAGTCCTTCCCTGTTCCTGCCAGGCTTGGACTGGCTCCACACTCCAGGCATGAGAATTTCCATGGGAATGGGCTGGGGCTGTCTGGCTCTGAGAGCACTGAACGGCTGAGATTAAAAACTTCTTAAGTCACAGCAGAGCAGCAGCAGAAAAAACAAAGAAACCTCACTATAAAAACTCCCTTGTTGTTTTGTTGGGTTTTTAAGAATCTGAGATAAATTGAAAAGCCTTTCAGCACCTGAGGAGGAATTTGGTCCCCGTCTCTCTTGAGCCCTTCCTGCTCAATTAGCCAAAATATTTTGGAGATCAATGTGGTTCTCTCTACCCCCAGAATGCCAGGATGGCTCAGGCTGGGAGGGACCCCACAGGCCCCAGCAGGGCCATCCCAGAGCTCAGGGACAGGATTGTGTCCAGCTGCTCTGGAACATCCCTGAGCTCAGGATTGTGTCCAGCTGCTCTGGAACATCCCAGAGCTCAGGGACAGGATTGTGTCCATCTGCTCTGGAACATCCCAGAGCTCAGGATTGTGTCCAGCTAATATGGAACATCCCAGAGCTCAGGACAGGATTGTGTCCATCTGCTCTGGAACATCCCAGAGCTCTAGATTGTGTCCAGCTGCTCTGGAAGATCCCTGCTGAGGGAGATCCCACAGGGCTGATTCAATTCTATAAGAGCTGTAAAGTCCTGCAGGAATCTCTTCCAAATTCCTCCCCAGGATTTCAGCAGCAACCAAAGGCTGTCCCCAGCAAAGATCTCCCAGCACACCTGGGGTGTCCCAGCAAAGTGTCACAGAGTGAGCCAGGGCTGGCTCTGTGCCCTGCAGCAGGGATGGCACAGGGATCACACACACATTTTCCTGGCCTCATGCCCAGGGATTTTTGCTTGTTGAAGGCTCATCTTTGTTTTTGCTGAATCCCAGAATCCCAGAATGACTGGGGTTGGAAGAGTCCCAGCTGTGCCTGATCCCCACCTTGTCCCCAGCCCAGAGCCCCGAGTGCCACCTCCAGCCCTTGCTGGGACACTCCAGGGATGGGGATCCAAACCTCCCTGGGCAGTTCCAGTACCTGAGCACCCTTTCCATGGGGAAATTCCTGCTGTGCCCACCCTGAGCCTGCCCTGGCCCAGCCTGAGGTCGTTCCCTCTCCTCCTGTCCCAAACCTCCCTGGGCAGTTCCAGTGCCTGAGCACCCTTTCCATGGGGAAATTCCTGTTGTGCCCACCCTGAGCCTGCCCTGGCCCAGCCTGAGGCCGTTCCCTCTCCTCCTGTCCCATCCCCACCTGGTTCCAAGCTCCAGGTCCACGAGCTCAGTTAGCACTGGCCTTGATGAACCTGCAAGGTGAGCTTTGCACTTCCCTGAGATTTCACAGCTTCCTTGCTTCAGGAAAGCCATGGAGGGTGTGCCTGGCTGGGCTCTGTGAGAGCTGCTGCCACAGCCTTTGCTGCTTCAGAAACTCCCCCAGTTTCATGCTCAGAGGGAAAAAAAAAGAGGAAATGTTTCCCTCTTGACTGAATGTAGAGGCATTTGAGGGTAATGAGGAGCTGAGCTCCCAGCATCCATCCCAGCAGCGATGGATTTTTGGGTGAGAGATGATGGGAGCAGTCATTCGACTGGAGCAGTCAGACATGGTTTAGCACCTGCAGTAATGACTCAGGAGCACTCCCAGCTTGATCAGCTCCTCTCATTGCCCCCTGGAATGTTGGAGATGTTCTGCTGTGGGGGTGCCAGCCGTGCAGGGGCTCCCAGGGAGCTGTGACAGCCCAGGCTCCTCCTGGCCCTGAGCAGAGCTCCGGCCCTGCCGCACTGCAGAGGGGCTCTCCTGCCAAAAATGACTTTTTAAGGCCTTTTCTGCTAAGGCCAAGGCTAATCCAAGAGTAGGTCCTGGTGGGAATAAGCAATGATTCTTCATGAATAACAATAGCACAATCAGGCCCTAAATGAGACATTTATTCAACCTTTCTCATCTGCCTTCTGTAAATCACCTTCCCTGCGCTGGCACCTCGTGTCCCTGGAGGAAAGGACTGACTAACTGCAGCTTTACTCCAGGAGGCAACAGCAGGAGGAAGGAGGATGTTTGAAATGATATTTCAGGCATATTGTGACAGCCCTGGTTGGTCCATCCCAGCAG